TACACTAAATTGCCTTTTTTCAAAAATCTAATTTTATGAAAATTTTGGAAAATATATTACATTTGTGTAATTTTGAAAATTTTTTCATACTTATCTTTAAATTTTTATTAAATAATTTATCTTCTTTTTAAATGGTTTACTTATAGAATTACACTAATTTATCTTATATTTTTTAATATAAACTAATCAATAATTTTCTTTTTCCAACATTATACTAATTTATCTTAATAATTTGTGTAATTATTGGTTCAAATTACAGTTTTCCCTTACCCATACTCATTTACCTTTAATAATTCACAATGAAAATTACATAAATTTTCAATAGTTTACCAAATTTATCAAATGTATTAATTTTTTCAGAATATTCCAATAATTTTCAATAATTATTTAATACATTTTAAATAAACTTTCAAAAATTTTATACCTTTTAATTTATTTTATGAAAATGTAGTTTTATGAAAATTTTTGAAAAACTTATTACATTTGTGTAATTATGGAGATTTATTGAAAATTATTTTAAATTGTTATTAAATATTTATTTTTATTGGGTAGTTTACTAATAAAATTATACTAATTTATCTTTTATTTTCCAATATAAATTAATTAATAATTTCATTTTCCAGCATTATAATATTTTATTCCCCCATCTACATTCGGTTATTAACTATAATAACAATAATAACTAAAATTTTATACTGTTTGATAATTGTTAAATATAATTCTCAATTTTATAGAAATTAGTTAAAGAGTTTTCAATTTCCTAGAAAATGTTGTTAGTTAACATGAATATAACAGTTTTTACCCAAATTACTTTTAAAATGTAATGAACTTAATTAATAACAATATTTATTAATTTTTGGTAATAACACTATTTAATACTAATTGAATATGGGTTGGATTAAATATTAAATGTATTTAACTATTTATTAATTGATATAGATATTTTAAATGAGAGAAAAAAGATATAGGTCGGGAGGAGAGATTTTAGGAATTGATTGTGGAGTAGGGTAATATGATAAGTTACTAATGGCTTAAAGGAAATACCTTAGGAGAGAGATTTCAAGAATATTTTTAAGTAATTGGGTGGGGAATGGTGACATGACTCAATGGAAGTGGTGGGAATGAGAGATGAGAGAGAGTCGAGGAGAATGTAGGGTGGGGATAATGGAACAAGGAGAGATATGCTGATGTGGACCGTCTTGCTATATAAATAGGTAAATATATAGATAGATAGATATTGAAATTGATGAAAATACTTGCAATTATATGAACATCAAATACAATTTTTCCATCTCAAATTTTTATTTTATTTTACTATTTCTAAAACTTATTTCAACTTTTAATGGCCACATTGATGTTCAAAAAAAAAAGTCCCTTCAAAGAGATAAAAATGAAGGTATTTTGTCCGTATGATATATAAGAAGAAAAGGGTGAAATAGTGTTTCCAAAAGTTGTATATGTGACACCCTATATATGATTGTATAAAGTTTGTATAATTAGTAAATTTACATCTATATATTTATATAAATTTACTTTACATGTATAAGTCAAAGAGTTTAACATTTACACCTTTAAGATGGAAATTAGATTTGAATTAAATCTAAAAAAAAAAAATCTATTAACTCGATCAGTTCAACCCTAATTACAACTCTAGCAATGGATATGTAGTCACATCAATTTAGAGGGTGTTTGTCCATACGAGTGTTTTTGTTTCTCTAAAATAAAAACAAACACTACAGCAGTAAAAAGTTTTTTTTTAAAGCAATTAATCGCTACGTTCAATTCGTTACCATATTCAAAAATTACTTTCTTTTCAGACACTTAATACTAATAAACAATTAATGAGCTTACACAACTATTGATTTTCTACATTCTATGGTGGAACCCATGAAAAGAAAAAAAGGCATAATCAGCTTTGTCCTGTAGTGCATCTTTTCATGGGTCCACCGGACGGCAAAACTCCAAAGCAAGGTTAAATATAGAGTCTACATCTTCTGCAACCACGGTTGTAGGAAAATTTTGCGACCACCCAATAAAATATGAATATACTAGTGGTTTGATCGAAAAGCAAAGGGCTAGATTTGATATCGGAAAGACATAATATCTGAAAATCTTGTGATTGTGATCAATTAATGGATATCATAAATGTGATAACCAATAAAATGGTATTTATCAAAATTCATAAATGGGGTCCTTTTTATTGAATGATCACATATTTATTACAGCCATGGTTGCAGCAAGTGTGAATAGTGCAGTAGCAATAACATATTCTCAATAAGATGAATGGTTTACTTCGGCTCAATGATTCCTCCATCTTGCAGATATAAGCAGTTATATATTAAAAAGGGCAGCTCGGTGCATAAAGGCTCCCACCCATACGACGTCTGGATGGAGACGGATATATGCAAGCCTTACCTTCATATACACATAGGCTATTTTCAAGATTTAAACCCTAACCACCCAAGTCGCAATCGAATAACCCGTATATGTACCCATTTACAAGTATGAGAATTTATTAAAATAGAAATACTTGGCAGTTTGATTTTGTATTTATGGCTTAAAAAGCATAGTTTTCAAAGTTGAATCGGATCGGATGGTTGGACCGGAAAAATTGGAAATCAGTTAAATGATTAGTTTCGGTTTTCTTCAAAACTGGATTTTTGCTAAAAAAAACGTTAATTTAATTAATAAATCGTTGATTTGGGCAATTGAATCAGTCAAACTGTTCAACGGTTTTGTCTGTTTTTTTATTTTTTTTGTTAAAACGGGGCCATTTGTTCAGTTCAAATGGTCCAATCATTCGACCCAAAAACCAAACCCCTGACCGGTTTATTGTCCGGATCGATTTTAAAAACCTTGCTAAAAAGTGATTCCAATTGTTAAGTAAGCTTATCCAGGTAGCCAGTTCAAGCAAAATAGCTTTTTTTTTTTTCCACGTGCCAAGAAATCCTTTATGAGGTATGTCACCATAGCTATAGGTACGACACGTGGCTAACCTATTAGGTGCACCTATCTAATGATTACATTGCTTTCGAATCATGTCCCTGTGGTTAAAACTTAAAACCAAATAAATCTTACTTGTCTTATCTAAGGAATAGATTCCATGTAGGAGTCCTATGCTGAAGAAATGACTCAAATGAGCATATGGGTTGATAAATTCACACTAAGATGATATATATACACAGAATTGTAATAAGAAGTCTTCTAATCTGCTGCGATCCTTTGGGCCATTGCTGATGTTTCAATTTTGTTTTCATGAAAGCAACACTTTATTTCTTCATTTGGTAGCATTCTAGAGATTGAAAAGTTTCATTTTCCATGTCTGCATAAATGTTTCTACTGCAATTGGAGTAAAGTCCAAATTTAAGCAATGACATGGGGGCCCAGGTTCTTCCTCCTACGAGGGTGTGTTTGGAAGGGAACGGATTATTTCATTTAGAAGTAACCACGAACGGGATTAATTTATGCCTTCCAAAAAAAAGATAAAGAAATTGTAATGAACCAAATACGCCCTATTAATTCCCCCAAGGAAAAAAGAAAGATGATCTAATGACGACGATGAATGATATTTGTTGCTTCCCTTAATGTAAAGAAAGCACAGGGTATCATGTCACTCTCATGCGTGAATTTTACATGTGCGAGTTCAACTTTCAAGGGTTCCCTATTCCTCCTATCCCGCTTTTAATATATTGAAATTTATACTAAATTTTAAAACAAATAAAAAACTAAAAGACAGGGGTTAAGAGTTTTTTTCTTCCTCTTTGTCAAATAAAAAAGGATTTGCTCTCCGAGGAGTCCAATATTAATTAACAAGCAGAAAAACAACGAATAAGATTTCCGGCTTTTGGAATTCCTTGACCCACCGGTTCCTAAATCTATATCATACAGCAATTTCTCTGGTTCAATTCTGGCTTCCATAACAAATCTGCCCAAACTGGAACTTCTGGAGCCTAAGAGGTAATAAATCGGCAAGATGCATTCCCGACTCACTTTGGATATCACAAAATTGCTTCCTTCATTTCGACCTTTCACAGAACCAGGTTTCTAGTAAGATTCCCAAATCGCTAAGCCATTTCAATGCAGTAAGTAATCTATCTTAATTAGTAAGAACAAGTTTATAGGAGATGCATTGGCGTTGTTCAAAACAAACGGAACATTATTGTGACTAGACTTGTCATAGAATGAGTTCGCCCTTAATCTTTTCAAAATTCCAGGGTGAGGCTTCCTAAGAGCCTAATATTTGGACTTATCTCGTAACAGGATCAGAGGAAGTACCCCCAAGGAGATCTTGGAATTGAATTTGTATTGGCTAAACGTGAGCTTTAATCGGCCATACAGAGAGATTCCATTCGGCGGGAAGGTGCAGGAGTGCAGTGCCGACTCTTTCTTCCATTACCACTGTCTGTATGGTCGCCACTCCTCAAGTGCTAATAGCTTAGTCGGCTCACCGTGGATGATGAACATAATGGACTTTTAACCCTTTTTTTTTTTTTTTTTATTCGACAAAGAGAAAGAACAAACCCTTAACCCCTTTGTTTTTTCATTTGTTTTAAAATTTAATATAAATTTTAATATATTAAAAACATTTGACACATATATTAATCCCACTTGCACATGTGAGATGCAGGGACGAATGTACAGGAAACCCCAACTCACGTTTAGGGAGGACTAGCTAGCGAAACTGGAGTAGCAACATCCTAACAAACAAACAAACAGCCAAACAGGACATATAGAGGGGAAAAGGAAAAGGACAAACCACCAAGCCCAGCGGCCCCAGTCCTCGTAGCGATATTGTAGGTAGGTAAAAGTGTAAAACAGGGGAAATAAAATAATCAGACATTAAGAGATTGTGAACCGAGTTAATTCAATTTGAGTTGGGAAGGTGGTCCAAATTAACCCACTGAGTTACGTTCTAAAACACACAACACACACATATATATATATATATAATGGAGTAAGTTGGCAGTCCGAGTTAAGCCAAGAAATGGTAAAAAGCAAAATTAAGAGCATGCATGCACGTTGCCAAACACATTAAACACCTATCAATAAAAGCAAAAGCAACAAGATTTTTGGGAGGCTGATCACCTTCTATTTACAATGAAAGAAGGTAAGAAAAACAAATAATGCCTCGTGACTCCTCCTCCATCTAAAATACATCCACTTGGATGCACAAGATACACGTCAGAGAGAGAGAGAGAGAGAGTATGATCACATAAGGATCCAAAGGAGCTAGTAGAGTGGTGGTTTGGAAGATAGAAACCACTGAGTGAAGCTTTGGAGTGTTCTAACATCGGCTCTGTAGTGCTTTTGTGTGAACTCAAGCAAATCCAACCATGTGAAGTCCGGGTACTTCCTTGGCCCCTCTCTCCCCACCAGATCTTGTGGGGGTCTCACCACTTTGTCTTCTTTCGGGCACACAAAGAATGCTAAGGATCTCCTCTCTCTGTACCTGTTCACCACCGCTCTATGTAGGCAACTCTTGTACCTTCCGTTGGATAACGCCTACAAAATGAAACAAACAACAAATGGACCGAACTTATTAGTCCACACCCAATTCAGTGTCACACGAGCCCTTGGCCCTTCCCATTTTGGACCATCGCCCTTGCAACAATAACAAATACTTCATCCCTTCATTATCCTCTTTGTCTGAAAACTTCCCTAGCTATATCTTTCAATTCTGATCAAACCCCGCTCCACAAACACAATTAATACCCTAAATTAAATGCTCAGCAGTCAGCTCTATTAATGCACCCACTCCATTGGGATTGGGTTGGGTGGTGATCGACTAGTTATTTATAGTGGGTTTGGGTTCGTATTTTGTAGGTATTTGCTTGTTAATCGATCAGGAAAAAATAATTGGGTACCATACAGAGATGGCTAGCTACCTACCATAAAGGTATCGCCAATGTTGATGACAAAGGCATCACTCCGTGGCCGGACAGTCTGCCATTTGTTCTGTGCAAATACTTGTAGACCTCCCACTTGATCTTGGTGAAGGATGGTTAGAGCAGTAGGATCGCAGTGGGGGCCTGTGCCAAAGGTGAGACCAGGCTCCTGACAGGGCGGATAGTAGTTGCATCTCATTATAGAGCTACTATCTTGGAAAAATCTGCGGAAGTGAAAGCGATCTATTCCCAAGCTGATGCCCAACAGCTCCATAATCACTAGAGATAACTCCTTCATTGATTCACAATATCTTTGGTAAATCGACCTACAAAATATAATATATTAATGTAGCAATGACTATGAGAGAAAGTTGTTAATTAGCTAGCGTAATTATATTACAAACACTGTATTCACACATATATATTATTAGCTTGCTCTAGCTATCTATATAGCTCCTCATTTCTTACCCTGTCTGTTCAAAATCTTCCCCTAGGACGGACTTGAAGTAGTCGGTCACCATGGTTTCACAGCTATGGTCATCGAACCCAAAAGAGAGCGTCTCCTTCCATGGCAAACTGGAGGAGAAGCGGTCGGCATGGGCGCCGGAGTATCCCCACATGCCACCGGGCTTCCGTCGGGCCCTGAGTTTCTGGGTGATGGGGAGCTTGAAGAATGCATCCATGTGATGATGCGCAGCCTGAATGAGATGGGCATCAACACCATGGTTGATCACTTGGAAGAACCCGTGGCTCAAGCAAGCTGCCCTGACTAGCTCAGCTGCATGATTGGTAGCCATCTCGTCACCGTTGAGGAATCCCCGGAGGTCTACTAGAGGCTCTCTGAGCTCTTCAAGTGGGTAAATCAAGTCTCCATGTGACCAAATGAACTCTGTAGGTATATTGGGTTGTTTTCTCAACAAAGACGAGTCAAAAACTACACCCCGGGTGTCCTTGGTCCGATCCTTGAGCTCCAATGGAGGGCGCAGGAGCAGAGTAGAGGCGGTTGAATCCATTAGGAGACACAGACACACACAACTCGAAAGAGTTGAGGCTAGGAATGGTATTTATAGAGTCCAAGAGTTGCAACTAGACAACAAAACATAAAGAAATAGATGACCTCTAATTTGCTGTGTAGATCTATTGGAAAGAGTAAATAAATTGGAGGGAACTCTGTGAGAAAAGCCAAGGCCACCATTGGTGATTGGGGAAGCTGAAGAGGAGATTGGAATCTTATTGTTAAGAAGCCAACCACGACTGAGACAATTGACGCCCTTTAACTCATTGGTCATTTTAATTTCTTGTAAAAACAATTACATCACACCCATGCAGCTAGCTTCCCCTCTCTTCTATATTCCCTTTCTTGTCCTTCTCCGCATTGAGATTGCTTGTTCCCAAGGAATCCATATGCATATTTTTTCTCTACTCTCCTTTGGATTCAAGCGAATGGCCCGTTTGTATAGAGATACAAAACTACAATATCCTCTTTACTCTCTTACTCGTTCAAGTGAATGGCCCCGGTACGTCTTTTGTGTGGGTTTTTCTTCTTTTTCCCATCACTACTACTACTAGCTAGATAGAGCTACAAGACTACAAATCCTCTATACTCTCCTTTGGATTCAAGCAGTGAATGGTCTGCTCTCTATTTATGGTCTATGGGTTTTTTAAATTTTCACTACCCATCTCTCTCTCTCTGCTTGTTTTAACCTGAAGGGGGGCTGCAGGGGATTTAACTTGGCTAAAAGAGAGGCGCCCAAAAAACTCGGCCAAGAGAGAGAATAAGTTCATGGACAAATTTGAAAAGTTTTCCAAAGCTAGTATATTACCATATGGAAAGGTCACTCAAATACGGATTGGTATCAGTTTCCAAGTTCCGATATTATTTTGTCCTGAACAGGATTGAACTAATAAAACACAAATGGTACAGAGGCATGTGAACCTCCTTATTGTACACTCTCAAAAAATAAAAAATAAAAAAAGAAAAAAACGGAAACCAAACACGTTTTATTTCAAATTATTAATTATTTTTACTGCTACTTCTGATGGAAAGGTCTCAAAGGAATATGCTTGGGGTATTGACGATTGTAAACACATGCAATACATGACAATATTTCCATGATTTTAGGTAAAACTTTAATTCCATGATTGTTTTGTTATTATAGAGAGATAAGGTCAAGATGCCGATACATTTATTTGTTCTTGCTTCTCAGGTTTTGCATTCATCACATTTTTAGGACAAATTTCAATTTCATATGCAATGTAAAACTAAGATGAAATGATTCTGTTCCATTTGACGTAAGGAATATTTTGATCAGGGTGCAAACCACTGTAGACCAATGTCTTCATGTTATTACTTATTTGATTGACCCACCAAGGAGATATGCATGCTAAGGTAAAATTACTGCCATGAGTCCATGATTTTTATAAATTACCTTGAGGGAAGCCACTCATGTCCTCTCCTTTGCACGTAAGAAAATTGGATGGTTTTGACAGCATATTGTTCATGAACTAAGGGGTTGTTTGTTAATATGTATAATTTTGTTTAAAAAAAACAACTGCTACATCAGCAAAATTATAATGTTTTTATTATCGTGGCATTTATTTTTATTTTGGAAATGAAAAATAAATAAAATCATACATATTTACAAACAATGTAGAAAACTTGGATTAATGTGTGTGAGCAAAGGACACAAGGAAATAATTATTGAAAATGCTTAATTTAATAGGATGATAATTAAATGCCTCATACACAATACAAATTTTCAATTACACAAAGTTTTGAGAACATCAGAACAAGAAAGTTGCGTCTTAGGGAAATTTTGTATTAGTACCTTGTACTTTGGGTCTAGTGCTACTTTGGTCGTCGAACTTTAAAATGCGATAATTTAGTACTCAAATTTTTAAAACGTGCCAATCTAATACTCTTCAAGTGTCATCTAATTCTCTTTATCAACCATTCAAACGTTGAAATGAACAGTCCCAAATCCTTGCCTCTTTTGTTCAAGAAAGTTGGGATCGCCAGAATGCCTATTAAAAGTAACCCTAACTTTTTTGAATAGAAGAGGCAAGGATTTAAGACTGTTCATTTTTTATCAAATGAACAGTCCCAACATTTTTTATCAAGGATGGTTGATAAAGAAAATTAGATGACATTCAAAGGGCATTTGTATCTTTTCAAATGTCACTTAATGGCTGGTTAATGAATTGATTAATGACATTTACTGGATTGACACATTTTGAAAGTTAGGATACTAAATTGTCACGTTTTAAAGTTCGGGGACCAAAGTGACACTAAACCCAAAATAGAGGATACTAATTGGGAATTTTCCCTTAATTATTATTTGTACTCCAATCTGATACAAAAGTTATACCTTTCAATTCATTTACACTGATTGGCAGTGCAGATTTTTCATAAAACATGCACCATCTTCTCCTTCCTCAATTCAATTTGGATCATATCCGCTTACTTCTTACGTCATTCATAAACAAATGACCCTCCTGCTACCTCCTCCACTTTCTTTCACATGAGGTAGTGGCCACATCATTTTACTTCTCACAAACAAGTAAATTGAGACAGGATCACATCTGAATCAAAAGTAACCAAAATTTTTATGCACCCAACTTATTTGCATTCTCATAGCCCACAGATACCGCAGATAACTTTTTTAAATTACAAAAAAAGTTATGCATGTCGTGTAGTTTTGTGACTTATGGCCTCTATGAGATTCACTTCCTAAACATTAGTTTCATCCTTATACTGCATTTGTGTATGAATAAATTAGAGAAAAAAAAGGAAAATAATAACTTGAAAGAAGAAAACAGAAAAGAAAATAAAGGTTGTCTTTTTAAGAGGGAGTGGGGCAATTTCGCTTCCTCTCTCTCTCTCTCCACTCTTTTCCACTGCTGTCTACTGCATTATGGAGAGAAATTAAAAGAAGTAGAAAACAAATTTACCTTATTATTTTATTTTCTTTTTTATTTTGATTTTCCTTGTCACTCACACTATATATATAAGGAAATCCACTTTTGAATTTTCTTTTCTTCTCTATTCTCTTAATTCAAGAAAATGCTATTAGAAACCAACTACAGCCCACCAGGCCAACTTGAGGGTATGTCTATCATGTCTAACTATTTTGTCATTTTCTCCAAATTTTTTAAATTCCCTCAAATGTTGTCAATGCACCCACTTCAGTTTAGTTCCTCTTATCATTCCCTTAAACATTAGGAAATCAGAGCTACCCAATCATGGGTATTTTTGCCACCATTTTGTCCTTTTCCCACAATGATGAAAATGGCTCAAGTGGTGTTGGGTGCATTGAACTCGAGTTTCTCAGCAGCACTCTCCCATGTTTTAAACCTCTAGAGGTTAAATACTAAATTAATAATGCTACAATGTCGTTGCTCTAGAAATATTGATCCTGATTGCATCATAACTGTTTAATTAGATAGAATTAAATCTAAGGAATTAAGGGTTTGTTTGATTTGTGGTCAGAATCGGAATGCTCTATTTTCATAGTTTATTTTTTACAAATGTAAATTGAAATTAGAATTGGAATAAGTTGGAATGGGATCTCACTCCCAAAGGAGAGAGAGAAAATGGTCATTCTCTCAAATGGGGAATGCCATTCTACCTGAAATATTGAAAATTGAATTCTGATTCCATCCAATCAAACAGTTGAAATCCAAATAAATCATTTCAATTCCGAATCCAAAACCCTATCCCTGTGAATTAAAGGGATCCTAGGATGGAGATTTCCAACTTTTGAAAACAGCTTAAATGAAGATAATAACAATGAGATGAAACCTCAGATGATCCAAGAATGTAACAGCTGAAGATGATAGGCATAATTATCTTTGCATTTAGCATGTATTACAGAACCGAAAAAAAAAGGGTGGTGGAATAAGCAGATAGAACACAGGAAGAAAGAAAAAAACGGATAAACAATAGAAGAAAAGGTTGATGCACCAGTTGCCATATCATAACAAGCACATTTTGGAGCCATCCACGATTGTTAGTTTCTCTTTGGTTTGGTATTGATTTTCCAGCACCCACTGATCCAGAAGTGAGAGGCCAAGTCATCAACTGCACCACTGTTTTGACTCCATCCCCAAATGAGATAAATCTTATATTCCTGGAGTAATCAGCCTACACTGACCACACCCAGCCTAACAGAGTAAAGAGTACGTGTCGCATTGTTGACCATACCTGCAGGGACAATGTTTAAAAGATAGTTTGAGAATTTAAAAAATTAAAAGAGTAGTTCATAAAATTAACTGATAGAATGCTATGGTAGGGACAAAGTGCTAGAATCCAAAAGTTCAGATGGGATTTTTTTCTCGCAAAATAAAATTCCAGGGGGGAGTGTCACTACCCACTAAGTTATGTAATTAACCCAAAAACAAAACAAAATAACTAATTCAATAAACATTTATATAAAAAGCACAAAATGAATATATTGGTATATATACATAACCATGGGCCCCACTAATGTAATTGAGGAATATAAAATGAAAACAAAAAAACAAGGAAGGTGCTAATTGTGCCCAAACATCAGTGCTCTCAAGTCTCTGATCACAAACGTCAACAGAAAAAATAGGTTTTTGCCAGGTAAGGTGGATGAGTAATGGGCTATGTCCATCGAATGCACAGTATATGTGAGTGTGATGATGATTGTGCAATTCTAACTTACAGGTTACATCTCTCCCCCTGATAACTGTTATATGATCACTAGCTTCCACGTAGAAACCAGGGTGAGCCAATGAGAGAGAGAGATGGGCCCACCTGGCCATGTTGCCCATATTCCTTAAGAAGACGATGTAAAAGGACTTCCAAAAGAATGAATGCTTTTGGCTGACATGGATATCCAATTCTACTATATTTATCGTTTCTCTAAGCAACCTTGTCTGCTAAACCTAAAAGGGACAGAGACATTCACGTGGCATTGGTGGTCTTATTCCTTCCCTAAAGACAGCTTTTCCTTGGAATGTCTCTCGCAAATTCCCACATTCGGTTTCTCTGTACGCGTCAAGGGTTCAACCCACGGTGAATGCTGAGTGGTGACTCATACATCGAACATGTGAATTACACGTGACAGTCACATGGAAAGGAAAGTGGGGGACAGATCCCCCAATGACTGATGAGCTTCGCCCTCAATACTGGAGCTGGACTGGTGCCATATCGCCAGTCACCCACCCTACGAGCTCAACCCTATTTGTGTAGGATGCACAGGTGGCCTTGTTATTTCCTTTGAAAACCCAAACCCACAGTTATTTACCTTTTAAATACATGAAACATGTGGTTTAAACCTGCCATCACATGGCTTACCCATGCCAATCACATGCATGCATAGTGGGCTTGCACTCGTCAACTATGCCTTCTCTATTATTCTACTTCATCATCTTCATTTGAATCTTATCCCAAATATATGGGTTGGTTCTATGAATCTCTTAAATTATGGGTGCTTAAATCATTTTATATTACTTTCGATTCAAGTCCTTTTCAATCTATTCCGAATTCTTCTAGCTCTGTTTTATGGATAGTTCGCCACTTCGCCCAAATTCTTCACGCCTCTATTGTTTAGGGGAAACAAACCTAGAAGAAAACCACCCACACAGCCTGCAGCTGAAGAATG